GAGACGAACGGATTTGGGTTGGGGAAGAAATGGGTCATTTTGGAACAGTAGGTTGTGTTTTGCGCGTTTTCAAAATTTTTCGAGTTTTGTACACAAAACATCCAAAACGTTAAAAACATCATTTTGTATTTTCAGTGCAATTTTTTTTTGTATTTTCAAAAACTCGTTTTCGAAAATAGGAAAGAGAACGCGTTTTGAACGTTTTCGAAAATCGAAAACAGAAAATGGCCCGAAAACGACAAAGAGAACAGGCCCTACGTGTTGGCCTATCATGTCTTGTCATGTCTGTAGGGGCGAAGCCAGGTGGGCAAAAAAAACTTATGCTCGGCTGATACAGAGAGAAAAATTCCATTCGGAAAAAAAAAAAAAAATCCAAAAAAATATATGTTGACCTATATTTTACAAAAGTAATTGGGCCCGGGGGCAGGTCTTTCCCCCTCCTGCCCCTGCATGTCCGACACACATCTGTGCCTTTTTCATCTAGGTGGTTTGAGTTCAGCGTTGTAATCATTTTTTTTATTTGTAGGGAAAATTTGGAGTGGTGAGTAAATGTAACCCCGGTGAATCACTATAAACTCGTGTGTTTACTTGTGGACGCAGACTATAGTAAGACGGATTGAAATCTCTTAACAATGACTGTCCATAGGATTTGCACGTGCACTAACTTATTGTTTCTACAGTAAATGAGGTATGAAATGCTGAGAGAAGTTCCAGAAGAGAGCAATCCAGTAACAAATAGCACACTAACCTGCAATGGAAATTTCACGAACGCAGACTCAAAGCGCCCTTTGCAAAATCGATGAAACCAGATGGTCAAGACAGGAAGTACGAGTATCAATGGTGTTGCTTTGGGAGCATCTCTGGTGCTTAATAATCCCATCAGTAGAACTTGTGATATTATCAGACCGATAATCACACGACGATGCACATCTGGCCAAAATCTTGCCCCACTTTCGTACTTTTGGTCATACACATTGATGATCTATTTATAAGAACCAATTGCAAAATAGGATTACTTTCTGACCAACGGCTATCAATAACACTATACATGGTGCTCAGTGAATTTTTCAAAAATTTAAAAGAAAAAGGTTTTATTCAGGGAAGCGTGTATGAGAATGGCTAACACACAACAAACACGGACAACCTTCTAATTTTCTGTTGATTCATAAGGAGACTAGAAAACTAAGCAACAAAGTGCATTGATTCAAGATAGAATACTGAGAATTGAAGAAGACTTCAGAAAACTAAGTCCGTTCAACAATCAACCAGTCCAAATTGTCAGTATTTGGTGTGAACCAACGAGTTCTTGATGCTTATTTCCTGGTACTCATGAGTGGATCAACAGGAACTAGAAGGTTTACGTGAATTCCATATTTCGAAAATCACTTCTACATCAATACTAATTCCCAGGTTAATACCTGATGGCGGAAAACCATAAACGCAAAGGCAAAGAAGACGATTATGAAAGGCAAAAGAATAGGTGTGACTGGCGCGTAGACAAGTCCCAGTAGGAAATATAGCTGTATGCGAGGTTCTGACGTGGAAAAATTAATAGAACCAGGATCCATTGCCTGCTCCCTGTCCTGCTCTGTTTTTACCAAGAATGTGTTCTTGAGGTGGAACATGACTAATGGAAGCAATCTAAGGATCTCTGCTGCAATGCCAGCCCAACCATCAACCATAATATAAGTAATAAAGAAAGTGGCTTTCATAGGAATGGCAACACCCACGGTTTTAGGAATCCTGCAAGGTAGCATAATATCAAGATATAGTTCAGAGTAATCGATACTACTTATCCGACACGGACACGTATCAAATACGCCAACACATGATTTTTTTAAAAAGTACAGACAAGACACGTCATCGACATGTTGATTAAATTCTTAAAAATTATTCATTTATATAGTATAAATTTAGTTTTATAATAAAGAAAGTGGTTTTCATAGGAATAGCAACACCCACGATTTTAGGAATCCTGAAAGGTAGCATAATATCAAGAATATCAAGTCTCATTAGCTATGATGCACCGACACGGACACATATCAAATACGTCAACACGCGATTTTTTAAAAAAGTACAGACAAGACATGTCATCGACATGTTGATTAAATTCTTAAAAATTATTCATTTATATAGTATAAATTTAGTTTTAAACTTGTTATCAATTTTTTTGTTGAAATCTTTTAAATATGAATTCCTATTTGTTACTTGCTAATAATTTTGA